CCCCTCCAGTCAGGCTCTCCCTCCCTCACCTGACTGCCTCAGGCCTTTCTGGGTCCCCTTAGGGCTACAGGTCTGTGGTGATGGGACACAGGCTTGGGGAGTTCTCATGTATCAACTTCGGGATAAACGGGTCTACAGTCTTTTTAGGCCCGGTGCAGTGGCTCACGCCTTTAAACCCAGCACTTTAGAAGACCAAGGGAGGGTTGCTTGAGCCCAGGAATTTGAGACCAGCCTGGGCAACACAGTAAGACCTTGTTTCTTCAAGAAAAAAAAAAAAAATTAGCTGGGCACAGTGTGCCTGTAGTCCCAGCTACTTGGGAGGCTGAGGTGGGAGGATCGTGTGAGCTCGGGATGTCGAGGCTACAATAAGCTGCGATCACACCACTGCACTCCAGCCTGGGCAACAGAGATCCTGTCTCAAAATAAGAAGAAGAAGAAGAAAATCTTTTTATAGACCCAAGGCTCTAGCACTCGAAGGAGGGCATATCTGGCCCTGCGGCTGCTGAGAAAGAGTTTGAGGCTCTCCGCTAACCACAGCAAGCCAGTACTGTGACAGCCCTCACAGGGTCAGGGACAGGAGCTACCTGGTTGGCGTGATAGGCACTGAGCCAGCGCTCGATGTGGGTGGCGTACCAGCCGGGGACCAGGCAGCGGTTCTGAAGGGCACGCAGCTTCGAAGACGCATCGGAGCCAGCTGTGATCACCTCATGGAAGGTATACTTTAGGGCCACCGGGTCATCATGGGCTCGCTGGTGCTGCAGACAAGGAAAGGAGGTCAGTATGCCACATGGAAGGCACAAAGGAAGTAGCCTTAGAGCGACAGCGGCCTGGGAGGTGGCCAGATGATCCTCAGCTGGACCCAGGAGCTCTGGGTCTGAGTCCTGGCTCTGCCTCTCACCATGTCCAGTGTCAGGGGAAGCCACTGCTCCCAGAGCCCCAACTTCTCCCTCTTTGAAATACGGGAGCTGGACTAAAGCAGGATTTCCTGAGGCCGGGCGCGGTGACTCAAGCCTGTAATCTCAGAACTTTGGGAGGCTGAGGCGGGTGGCTCACTTGAGGTCAGGAGTTCAAGACCAGCCTGGCCAACATGGCGAAACCCTGTCCGTACTAGAAATACAAAAATTAGCGAGCATGGCGATGTGCACCTGTGGTCCCAGCTACTCAGGAGGCTGAGGCATGAGAATCTCTTGAACCTGGGAGGTGGAGGTTGCAATGAGCTGAGATCACACCACTGCACTGTTACTCTATATAGAAGGCAACCACTCACGAATGCAATAAAAACAAAGCAATGTTCTGAAACTCCAGCCACACACAAGTGGCTGCAACAGGCCCTGGACATGCCCTCTTCATTGGAAGCAGAGGTTGGCAAGGTTAGAAAGGCCGTAAGAGCCACTTGCACCAAAGTGAGCGTTTCTCCTTTATGGCAATCAGAAGGATTGGGAAAGAGCAATAAAAGGGAGACTGGCCAGTCTGAACCACCTAAAGTAATGCCATGGGAGGCTGGCATCTGCAGAATTCACTAAGAACAGAAATCCAGAGCTCGGGCACCTGCGCAACTGGCACTACCCCCAGGTGCCAACCCCCTCCCCTGAGGATGACACACAGCCCAGGGCCGGGACAGTAATGGTACGCAGCAGCCTCCTCCTCGTCCAGACTTCCTTCTGAGACAGGCCACCACGCTTCCTCTCCTCCAGCACCTTCCCGCGCCTCCTGGGGGGAATGAGCCTCCCTTCTCCTTCTCTCCCTTACCCCTCTTGACCATGGACAGAAAAAGGAATAGGGTCTTAGATTTACCAGACTTGGATTCAAATGCCACCACGTGAAACTTACTGAAACTTGGGTTTTCTCATCTTTGAGAAGGGGACACAAACATCAAACCCCTCCTCTGCCTTCTAGAAACCCGCCATGACTCTCCAGTGAGGTGGCAGATGTAGAGCAGTGTCAGTGCAGAACAGGGACTGACCCGGCCTGTGGCAGCTCCCTCTCCACCCTGTGTTCCCCCAGGAAAGCAGACTGCCAGTTCCCTGCACAGCGCCAGGAGGCAGGGGCATGCGGCACAGCAGAAAAGAGAAATACCCAGTGAGTGTTTCTTGGTTTTCTTCTCCTAAAGAAAAAGCCCATGAGAAAGCAGACATCGGGGCATAAACAGAAGCCCTAGAGAACAAGAGTAAGAGAGGGCTTCCCCATAGGCTCAGGGAGGGGCAGGAGGAGAGAATTCCACGTGGGCAAAGAGGAGGCTGGTGCCAGCCGTGCGGAGGAGACCGAGAGGGCCCAGGCGGGAGGCAGCCACTGTCACATCTGAGTGAGGTGGGAAGTAACACAGGCCAGTGGCCAGGTCTGAAGAGGCTGTCCCAGGCAGGACAGGGGACACCTCCCTTAGCCCAGGGCCCCACTCCCTCCCCAACACCAAGCACAGACCTGGTCTGCTGGGTTAATGAGGATACTCAAGACCTCAGCCTGGACAGCAGGGTGGCTTTCAGTTGGGGTGCCACTTCTGAATCAAAGTGCTTGGCAGTGTGGCATAATTTCAGGAATGCTGGCAGCCAGGGGAGGGACTCCCCGTGCCCTGCCATGGAAGGCCTGAAAGCATTCCTGCAGGCTCAGTAGGCTGGCGTGCAGGAAATTAAGTCAGGCCATAGGCATTAAAGAGAGCTCTGGTTCATACATGCCCCACATAGGGGCTCGGATCCACACCCTCTCCACATATCACAGTCCAGGTAACTGCCTCACCCGGTCAGGAGCCCGCATTCTCCACTGGAATGGCAGTCCTGTGTCTTGTCCTTCCACGAGCCCCCACTCCTACCCCAGTGTCCAGCGAGGAAGCTACAGTCAGTATGATCCTGAGTCGCTGTTCAGCAAATCTAAGCTTCCTCAAGGTGTAACCAGCCTCCACCTCTTGTCAACGTCAGAATCAGAGGCAGGACCCTGCATGACGCTAGGAGGACTGGCAGCTGGCTTTCCATTTCTGCCTGACTCCTCCACCAGGGACTCTATTCTCAGCTACCACCATGCTCCTGGTGCCCGGCTGACGGCTGGCAGACAGTAGGTACTTACTAATATCTGTTGAAGGAGTGAGGAACTGAGTATCTGACGGAGCCCTGTGCCCCCACAACACACACACAGGGACTCCACCCCAGCCCCACTTACCTGGTACCAGGAATAGGCCCGGTCCGCGGGGTTGATGAGGATGGTTAGGACCTTGGCTTTGGGCAAGAGGGCTGCTGCCCGCCGGGGTGCCACTTCTGAATCAAAGTAGTTGGCGCTTTTCTCAAAGTAGAAGTCGGAGGTGGTGTTGGAGGGGATGGGGAAGAACTCCATGTACCTGCAGGAAGCCCAGAGAGGGACCTCACAGATAAAATCTTGAGGAGGGAGCTAGGGCACCCGGCTGGCGGGTGAGGCGCTGGGATAGAACTTCCTCGGAGAGCAGGCAGGAGACTTTGCTCCCAACCAAACAAAGACTTGCCTCCAGTGGGGATTCTGGAGGGAAATGGTCTCTCGGCAGCCTCCTGGTTTCAAATTCCCTCCTTTTCGAGGAGACTCTGGGGTCAGGAGGATCAGAAGACTTGTGGGTTCACCGTCGGTTGCAAGTCATGGGGAGCGGATAATGCCCCTCAATCCTAAACTCTGGGATCCCGCCCCCTCGGCTGCTCCGGGCTAACCTGCCAGAGCTGTCACTCTCTCTGCCTCTAGGGGGCGAGCTGGGGCTCAGAGCGGCTCCAGAGCTGCCCCAGGGAGGTTGGAGCAGAGAGAGGAGGCCTCCAGAGGGCGGGCTTTCTCTCCTGGCCTGGGGGAACACCTGGGTTGTCACTGTGGACCAGGACCTCCTGCCACCCACGTCCCCTTCCAGCCTGCTGCGGGTGAGCAGGGCTTTCCAGACTAATGCCCGTATCCCACCAGAGCGATGGCCACCTCTGGATGAAGAACCTCTGGAAACCAAATGAACGCACCAGGGTCCGACTTCTGAGGCTTGTGGGAAGCAAAGCCCACCCTCACGAATGGTACAGGGTCCCTATCCTATCCAGCGAGGTAGGGCTTCTCTAGGGTGGTCCCAGGGATGGGGCCGTTCTGGAGGCCTGTTAGATTCCTGTAGCTCACTTTACACCGACCTACAAAATCAGACTCTTGGGGATCGGGCCAAGGAATCACGCTTTCTCTCCTCTTGCTGAATTTTCTTTGCTTGTCCACGATCCTTTGTTTACCATATCTCAAATGAGAAAGCTCTGAAAACACAGGCTTTGCTTCCTAAGTTTGCAGCAAAGCCATTGGGCAACAAAACCTGCCTTATTCCTCCTCTGTGTAAATATTCACATACTCTGCTAGAGACATATTAATGAATTTGCTAACAGATTGCTGCCCTAGGCATCACTGAAGATGTTACTAAACATGTGGTTTCACACCTTATTACCTTTCTAAAATCTGAAAATGTTGACTTCCAATAATCCATCTAGCCACAGTAGATTTTAGATAAGACACTGTGGACATGTTAGAAATGTAGGTAGATGTGGCTGGGCCCAGTGGCTCACGCCTGTAATCCCAGCACTTTGGGAGGCCAAGGTGGGAGGATCACAAGGTCAAGATCAAGACCATCCTGGCCAACACGGTGAAACACCGTCTCTACTAAAAATACAAAAATTAGCTGGGCATGGTGGCGCATGCCTGTAGTCCCCGCTACTCAGGAGGCTGAGGCAGGAGAATCACTTGAACCTGGGAGGCAGGAGAATCACGAACCCGAGAGGTTGCAGTGAGCTGAGATCACACCACTGTACTCCAGCCTGGTGAGAGTGAGACTCCATCTTAAAAAATAATAATAAATGTAGGTAGCTGGATGGATGGAAAGTTGGATACAGAGGTGGACAGAGTAATGACACACAGATAAAAAAGATAAATACGCACAGAAAAATACCAAAAACAGACAGAAGGCCCATAACCTCTCCACCCAGGGAACAGGCTGACATCAAAATAATAAAAACGGTAACACGTGAACAAAGTTTAACAAGGCAAACTTTGCAATCCATGCACGCGATGACTGGGTGTTCACACCCTTGTGTGAGGTGCACCCACCTCAGACTTTGTTATGATGTCAGCACATTATCTGCCTGACATGAAAATTTAAAAAGGAAAAGAAAAAAAAAAAGGGCAAATAGAGGAAGATGCAAACTGAAAAGCTGGAGAGTAAAACTGTCTCTGTTCTGGCCCCACACTCTTAAGGGACCCTCTGCTGGGAACTTCTATAGCAGTAACTTCTGCAGGCTCTGGTGGGAAGCAGCAATCTTAATGACTTCCCCAAGTGATGCCCAAAGACTGGCGACCTGCAATAACACCTTCTGCTTCAGTCAGCCACATGCCGTGAGGAGGGCCAGAACATTTGCGTTTCAGACCTTGGGAACTTGGGTAAATCCTTCTCCTCCCCAGGACTCAGGATGTCTCCCTGCAAGCAAGGGAGGCGTGGACTTCGGCTTCAGCATCTCTGACTGCAGGCAGCAGAGCCAAGGGGCAAAGGGGCAAAGGGCTTCCTCATCGAGTGTCCTGACTACGACAACACTGTCGCACCATGACTCAAGGGTCACTGCACTTTGTCCCTGTTTACAGGAACTTCAGCTGCGTGTGAGCACGCTCCAGCTGCTTCCTGCTGTGGCCACAGCAGACTTGCGGGAGGCCCCAGGATGGCCTTCCCGTCCTGCTGTGGACAGAAAGGCCAACTCACCAGTCGATGCCTTTGTGATAGTTGTGGCCATTAAAAAACTGGATCTCCTCAAAGGTCTCAGAGCTGGGATAGTTGCTGCTTAGGTCCGGGTGCATGCCCAGGAACAGGTAGAGGGCAGTGGTGCCTGTCGGGAGGGGAGATAGCTGAGACCCAGGGCCCAGCACCCAGCCGAAAGACAGAGTCTGGGTTCTGAGCCTAGCTCCCCATTACCCATGGTGGGGATCCTGGGAAGGTCTCTGCCTTTCTCTGGGTCTTAGCTTCTGTATCTGTCCAATGAAGGAATTACTAAATCCAGGGTGGCAAATATGTGGCATGCATGTGGACACTGCAACTCCCATATCTACTGCAGACATCACTAATCCATCACAGCATTCTTCACTAAACAAGGACTTGACCTCAGAATACTTCTCACCACTGTACTCTGGCAGCCTCAGCAACCCGGAAGAGATGGTCCTTTCCAGCTCTGGGCCCCTGTCCTCTGGGCACTTGCTAGGAGCTCAGGGAAAGGGGAGTCTGTGACCTCTAGTTCTGATAATGTGAAATTCTCAAAGAACTAAGAAATCTAGTTCCCATGTCTCCTCCTTCCAATACCGTCTCCTCGCTGCACCCTGCCCTGCCTCCTCCTCAGGGAGTTCATTCACTTTCTGTGGTATGAATCTATGGCTTACATGCTATAAGACAGCTCAGAAGAGAAGGAGGCTGTAGAGTTTGGCAATTAAGAGTATAGGTTTCAGGGCCACAGAGACCAGAGTTCAGGACCTGGAACTGCCATTACTTAACTGGATGTGTTAAGGGAAGTCACTTGACTTCTATGAACCTTGAGTTTCTGTCTATAAAATGGGAGTTCCCATCTGTGCCTTGCAGAGTTGTAAGGGTGACAAATGCTTAGCAATCATGTCACTGCTTCTCCTCCTGCACGTTTGGCAGACATGGCTAATTGATCACAGTCCTCTTTGTACCAGTTTGGCTTGGCACTACTTAAACTTGCAAAGCAACTGATTGGGCTTCTCTGCCTAGACTTGGAGACTCCCAGGAGGATGTAGGGAGAGCTCCCTGAGGCTACGATGGTTCAGGATAAATAGAATTCCAGCCCCCACCTTTCCCCTGTATACTGACAGGCAATTTGTGTTCACCCCAACTTCACTCCTACTTCCTGGGAAAGAGGGAGCAAATTATCAGGGAGTGGGGCCAGGGTGAGGCAGTCCTCAAAATTCTGTGGCTGAGACAGCAGGTAGTTGGGGAAGCTGGGTCAAGAGCAGAGAGACCTGCCTGTTTTCTGGGGGCCGATGATGAGGAGTTTTGGGAAGCGGTCACATGTCTTCTCCTTGGACCAGATGTCTTTGTGACGTTTGTCCTCGCAGGGGTCCTAAAACAACAGTGGAAGGGACGTGTGGGGCACCCCAGAACCCAGTCAGCAGATTCCCACTGCACATGGACCTGTGGCCCTTACAGCTCAGGACACGTTCCCACCCCCAGACACTGGGCCCCTGACAGGCAGTCCCCACTTGTGCTTAGTTTCATGTCCCCCAGAGAGCCTGGCAAAAGGCCCAGCCCCGTGCTTAGCACATAACAGGAACTCATAAGGACTTGTTCAATTTAACTGGACAACCTGCGTCTGAACCAGGGGGTCAAGAAATGTTTCCTCTAAAGTTTAGTAAATCTTTTGGGAAATGTTTAGTACATATTTTAGGCTTTGGGAATGAAAGCTTCCATTGCAACTACTTGACTCTGCTGTCCCAGCAGGAACACAGCCACAGACAGTACATACAAGAGTGAGCTTGGCTGTGTGCCAATCAAACTTTCTTTACAAAAACCGGTCTCGGGCTGGATTTGGCCCATGAGTCATGGTTTGTGGACTCCTAGTCTGAACTAGGAGACTGTCACCAAGTCCAGCTTCTGCTTCTACTTTTTAACAGCCCCAAGGAGCAGACTTTCCCAAACACTGGCCTCCCATCAGTCCCTTTTCCTGCTCAGAGCCTGCTGGAGTTGGAAGAGACGTAAGAGATTATCTAAGAGTCTGTCTAAGACAGAGCAGTTACTTTCTATACTTTGTCTGCCCTGTGTTCACTTGGAATTTTTTTGTTGCTTTTTGCTTTTGAGACAAAGTCTCACTCTGTTACCCGGGCTGGAGTACAGTGGTATCATCACAGCTCACTGCAGCCCCAACCTCTAGGCTCAGCTGATCCTCCCATGTCAGCTTCCCAAGTACCTGGGACCTACAGATGGACGCCATCATGCCTGGCTAATTTTTGTACTTTTTGTAAGACGGGATTTTGCCTTATTGCCCAGGCTGATCTTGAACTCCTGCATTCAAGCAATCTGCCCACCTTGGCCTCCCAAAGTGTCAGGATTCCAGGCGTGAGCCACTGTGTCCAGCCCACTCAGTTTTTTAAAACTGTTTTTCCTTTCCAAGGCTATGTATGACTGTGCATGCACGTAGATCTGCATAGGGAGGTATGCACATGTGTGAACGTGCATGTGTGTGTGCACAGGAGTGAATGCACCCACCCTGGTGAGCAGAGGGGCACCTGAGTTTACATGCGGGCGAGAGTGTGAGGCACGAGGGCTCAGCCTCGAGTCCATGTCTGGAGTGTGCACCTGTGAGAGGTGCTATTCCATCCCTGCAGCAAGGTACCTAGCCCCCCACCTGCCAGAGTGGGTCCTTCTCCTCGGAGAAGATCTGGAAGTACTTCTGGGCCAGCTGCACAGGGGGCAGTGTCTGCAGCCGGAGGTTGGTCCAGGAGTGCAGGAAGCGCACCAGGTGCTTGAAGGTGTACAGGCCCAGGCGGTCATTCCCATAGTTGGACAGGTGTGTCATGAAGATGCTGATCTGCTCCAGGGGAGGGGAGGAGAGAGGCAGGCCCATCAGTGTCTGAGCCACCCTCAGCCCTAACTCCGACCCTTCTGACCCTGCCTCAGCTTGCAAGGCCCCCGATGGCCAGTGGAAGGCACACTGGGCTGTCAACAAACTTGCTGCATGTACTTGGATGAGGCAACAGACAAAAACTCAGGTCTGACTGACCCCAAATATTTGTGTTTTGTTTTGTAAATGTGAGTGGTGTGGTGTATGGAAGATAAAGAGTACTCAGCCCACAGAGCTGAATAACAACCACCATGTGATTATTAAATATTATTAGAATAGAGATAATTGTTTGCATTTTACAAATAAGAAAAGCGAGGCCTAGAAAACTGAAATGCAGTTTATATATGTGTGTGTATGTATGCGTATATACGCACGTGAGCAAAGACTGAAGGTAACATCCCCAAAAATGCCAACACTTTTGTATTAAAGTGCATGATTAGGAAAGGAAAAAACCACCACGCTCGAATTCTTTAGCCAAGGTGACACAACAGAGGCAGGACAGGGCCAGCGCTGGAGAGTGGGTCTCCCAACTGCCAGGTACTCACTCATGCCTCCCCGCCCTCTCCTGGCTCCAAGAATCCTGTGTCAGCTGTAGACGGGCTGCCCAGCAGCCCCTTCTCACCAGCAGCCATGGGCTGTGGAGCACTCACAGGATTGAGGAGCACGGTGAGGAAGAGCTCGCCTCCATTGATGATCTTGTCCAGCTCGCTGGAGCCGCCAGGGTACTCGTTGTAGAAGATGGTGTGTGTGAAGAGGCCACAGGTCTGCCGAGGGAGAACCTGAGGAGGGGGCAGGGGAGAGGAGCTATGGTGCCTCCTGGGATGAGGGTGGTGGGAGGACTCTTCCTCAGAAGAAGGGCCAGCTGCTCCTCAGAAAGGCAATCTCCCATGTGGCCACACAGCCCCCGCCCTTGGGTGCAGCCTGCAGCACAGCATGCCCCGCAGTGACCCACAGGCCCTTGCCGTTTTACAAACTTCACTGCTATTCTCTGCACAAAATGAGCAGGCCTAAAAGTAACAGAGTGAAAATGTTTCTGGAAATGTGGGCTGCTGCAGCCACGGTCCCTGCCTGGCCCTCTCCGAAGCAGCTCTCCCAGCCCTCTGCAAGCCCCCTCACAACGTTCGAACCTCACCTGGTGCCACACATTGTCACACACTGGCTTAGCCATTTGTCGTCTGTCTCCCCTCACAAAACTCTGGGCTCCAAGGGAGCAGGGAGCGTGCCTGCCTTGTCACCACCTCATCCTGGAGCTCAGGGTTGAGGAGCTGAATGAGTGCCTGGAGTTCAGCACAAGGGCGTGGTGCTGAGGTCGGCGGGTGGATAGATGGATGGACTGATGGACAGACACACGAACCTTGCCTACTCACGGCTGCCCCAGCTCAACCGATGACAAGTCATCCTTCCAGCACTCGGGCTAAAAACCCTGCAGTCATCTTTGAGTCCTCTCTTCCTCCCACCCCTGCATCCAGCCCCTCTAACCACTGGCCTAACTACTCTAAACCCAGAGTATGGCCACGTCCCAGCGTCAGATCCCG